GTGTGTGTGTGTGTGTGTGTGTGTGTGTGTGTGTGAGTGAGAGAGAGACATGTACCAGAAACTCCAGCAATCTGTAGGTCCCATTTACACAGTAGATAACTTCATCCATGTTCTCCACCGGAGCTTTACGGAACTCCTCCACCATGAAGAGCACGTAGATCAGGAGAGTACCAAGAACCTGTTGGAGACAGACAAGAGTATGGATTTATTTATAAATGAGCCTCAGAGAACATGGTGTATACATTCTTAAAACGCCTCTCTTATACCAGTTTTAGGACTGATAGTGGAAAGAAAAATCCTGAGTCTGAACTTTTTTTCTAGCTAGCGTTAGCATCCACCTGCACAGCTGTGCCTCAGCACAATAAAATTTCATAAAATAAGAAGAGAAAAATAGAATAAAACAAAAAAGAATAGTAAGTGTCATAATTATATTATAAAAAAACAAATGTGAAGGAGAACTGCCAAAAAAAACTCTCTAGGGGCTTGACAAGCGGTAATCTCCAAAAAAAGAAATAAAAATCACATAAATTAAAAAATCCATACAGTACAAAAAATAAAACACTACTCTATATAAACAGCAAAAATGCTTTCAATAATAAAACCCATAAGAGAAACCAGAACAACTTAAGAGTAACAATCTGATTCTTCACTTAAAAATCTCTTTGGAAACTTCCATGAGATCCTGGAACACTGATCCATGTCTTTGACCCTCTGTATAAAACACTAAACTGTGCTTGAGTTGTGCGACAGTAAGGGGCTCTAATAAGACAATTTCTACGAGTTGAATAATGGTGAAATACGTTATTGAAAAAAAAGTAAGGTTTCCTTTCCCCCCAAAAAAATGATGATAAAAGCTGTGAAGGCATTAAGTGTAAAAAAACTCATGAGGAAGTAAAAGTTGATTATTTTGATGTAAATCTCTCCCAGCCCATTTACTGTCCTCATAGAAAATTTACCAACCTGTCTTCAGAGCAAGTGTACATACCATAACACACTACATGTACACAACCAAAGTGTGAAGTCACAGTTTAATGGTGGCTTTAAAAGTATGAATACATTAGTCTACAACAGAAATGAGCTATAAAAAAATCCACATTTCATTTATCCTATGCATTACCTGCAGCGAGGTCAGGATTGATGAGGAGATGATGATGAGAAGCCAGAAGTCCATGTGGAAGAACTGACAGATCATATAAGACATGTAGGCTGGAAAGATCAGCAGGAAGAGGCAGAGGGACACGGCTCGAAAGTGCTTCCATAAACTCCTACGAGTCAGAAACAGAGAACTCATCTGTATCTGCTTCAGAACCGGTTACTGGGTCAGAACAATGTTTTAGTCAAACAGAACCAAAAGAATGAAACAAAAAGTAAAGAATTCAAGAAAAAAATAAATGTTAAATGTAAATAAATTCTAATTATAATAAATTAATAATAATTTTACATCTAAAAATCATATTTTATTATTTTAATCTATTTTCCTCATTCAGCAACCTATTAAATTTCTGTTATGTTTCATGTAGGAGAAATACACATTTTTTCAGTCAGTATTTAATACAGTTGGCAAAATAAATTGTTAAAATATGTATTATGTGCTTCTGTTTTTTAAGTCAGGAGATTATAAAAAAATCCCTCTTGATTCAAGAGAAAACTCCGGTTTTTTAAAAAATGGCTGCTTATTAATTAATTGTTAATCAATCTTTAAGATAAATCAACTTCAGATTAATTCATTAATCAATAACTTGCGTCCTTAAGGAGTTAACTTAATTTATATCTAATTATATTCATGTAATTAAGCGTTTTAATGATTTGGCCGATTAATCGAAAAAATAACCAACAGATTAATCGATTATTAAAATAATCGTTAGTTGCAGCCCTAATTATTATCAAACTAAAAATCTCTTATAATTACAGACTAAGTTTATTGGAACGATTTTTTTTTCCTCTCAACTCTCAAATGTGTGGTAGATTGGACCTACTTGTCTCTGGAGGCTCCCAGAGCCAGAACTATGGGGTCAGCGATCTCCAGCATGGACTGCAGGATGGAAGCGACGACGATGAAGAGGATGATGGAAAGGAGGAAGGCTCGGTGGATGACCTGCAGCTCTATCAGACCCGTTTGCACAGCAAGGATGAGCAGAGTGATGCCTTCTGTCATCCCTCTGTAGACATGTTAAAAAATGTAATTAAATAATAAACACTCTGACAGACAGCTTTAATTTAAAAAAAAAAAACAAGAACACAAACAAATTGAGCAACCTGTGCATGGTGTTGTCATTCATAAAGGCTCTGTAACCCTGCAGGTAGAACTTGCACAGAGTGAGGACTCCCAGTGCGATGAAGGAGACGGTGAAAACCAAACCCAGCAAAGAGTACGGTGTACTACAACATTCTGCGATACTGAAAGCATGGAGGAGAGAGAAGATTAAACACTGGCTATTGTTTTATTTTGGATTTAACGTGATGCATATTCTGAATTATAGATCACAAATTTACAAAGAACAGGGCGCACCAGGACGTCTCACAGCCTGAACCATGAAGCTATTGTCTCACCTTGTAAGGAAGAGGAAGAGGAGCCTCTCCCTCGAGGTAGGCTGGTCTCTGGTGCTGAAGTAGGTGTAGATCTGCAGAGCAAAGAGCACGAGCCAGAAACACATGAAGAGAACTGGAAGAACCAGCTGGTTCCACAGGGACATGCCTAAAGCGAGCAGACCGTACACCTCTACCACCTGAGAGGAGACAGATACAGAAACAAGAGGAGAGATGCTGTAATAAATGTCAATCACAAAACAATTATTAAATTATTTAAAAAAATCTCTGAACTCGAGGATTACCTGAGCCAGCTCCCTGTAAGCAGTCTTGGCCAGATTATATGGTACCAGTAAGTTAGTAGCCAGGAAGTAAATGACCTCCAGGCCTGTGAAAATCATGGAGAACCTATTGATGAAAACAATCGTCTCCAGCGGGACCAGACAAAGCCTAGCCATCAGGGGGAGGAAATGAGCAGAAAAAAGCCAAATCCTTTTGGTCTGCATCACACAGGAGCACAGCGTGCACACCACCAGCTGACCTGATGCAGGAACAAAGACATGAACACACTGTTATCACAACACTCCTGTGAATTTCTAACATCAAAATCAGATTTGTCGCAATTTTATGAGCATCTGAGACTCAACTTATTTATTAAATCAATTTGTCTCCAAGTGCTGAAGATGTTCAAGTGGGGAAATAGTTCAATTTAATCCTCACCTTCCTCTGAAACAACTATTTTCCTTTCGTAACGCTGCTATTTTTGCTTTATCGGACTTTCTCTGGGCTGAGGAATCAGCACTTTGTGTGATCTATTTATAACACAGGAGACTCCAACCCCCTTCTCTAGTAAGCTGAAACAGGTCTTATAAAGCAAAAACACCGCAACATTTTCCTTTTAAAGGCACAGTGTGTAGGATTTTGTCAATTCTTTCAGCCGAAATTGAGATGATCACTAATGACAATAATAAAAAACATGTCTAATCATTGCAGACAAAGACCTTGTTTTATTATTTTTACCTTATAAAAAGCTGTTTATATCTCCATGGTCGCGGGTCGCCACTACAGGCAGCCGCCATCTYGTCTACGAAGGCTCATGAAGGACAAACTGCGGTGGCGGCGTCAAAAACGGTTTTAGTTGTAATACTATAAATGTAATATTTGTTGTCTGTCATTGTAGCTGGGATAATTTTACTTATTAAAGCTCATAATCTTACCACCTGAAACATCACTAGCCCTGAAGCTGCTGGTAGACATCGTGGTTGGAATTATCAAAGGTTTTTGACACCTGAGAGACACCGTAGCAACTCCTTTGCGTTTGGAAGCGGGGGGTGGGGGTGGGGGGAGGACCAGGGAGGATGATTCAACCACTCAACCTATAGATGTCGCTGAAAACAATAAATCCTACACAYTGTGCCTTTAAACCATCCTATTTTAATTTGGTCTTTAGCTGGATTTATTCAAAGAGTAAGCAGCTGATGTATAGTCATAAAAATAATTGTAAACGGATTAATTATGGTGTTGCAAAGACAGTTTTAATATAATTTACTATCATAGWACTGAAAAAACACATATAACTTATTTCCCCATATTATTATTTTCTAACCAGCAAGGGAAATAGAGCTCAAATGATTAAAGAGTGAATAAGAATGTGATGAGTGTCATCCTGCCTGTGGCAGCCTGTGATCACACTACACACATTGTGCACATGTGACTCCTTATATTCATATACCTATGAGTGCAGTGGTGAATCTGTTCATAGAGAGAGGCTCCAGGTAGACCGGTCCTTCATAGCCTGAATCCAGTTCACTGCGAACATAATCTCTGGAAAAAAAGAGGTCATAAAGCTGAGCACAATGAGCTCTTACATAACCYCAATACACAGTAAAACAATCCCCAACATGTTCAGCTCTTCTTTACATTAYACTATATTGTAGCTCTCAGTGTGTRCACAATAAGACTCAAACAGTGGGATTATTTACGCTTTTATACGACCAAGGGGATATAAATGTGTTTGTACCTTGAGACTTGATGACCAGCAAACAGCAGCAGGGCCGTGAGAACATACAGGTAGAGTTTAACCAGGTGCTGACGAGGCAGGGTCAGAAGCACCAGGCTCAGGATGTAGCCTGCCAACAAGTCACATATGAAGTTTGASCTAAAATTACCTGCACTTTAAAAGCATCACTGCTATTTCCTGTTTGTAGCTCTTACTCTATTTTTGGTCATAAACTAATACGAATGTGAACGTGTGAGAGGTGTCGATACGAGATACGTCTTTGGTCTTTAGTGTGACTATTTCATTTTAACGTAAACAAAACCACACAAGTCTGTAACACAAATAGCCTCGTCATATATTGTTCTAAAAACTCTTCATTGTACAACAGGTGCACTAGTTTTACTCCTCGTTTCCTCTTTAACTACCCACACAGTTTATCAGCACATTGGCTCAATAACAAAGTAACACTGAGGTAAAGAAACAATAACTCAGTTTTTATTGTTTCTCTTTCCACATGGTTGAATAAAGCTTAGCAATAAAATTTTACAATTTAAAGTGACTTTATGGTTGCGTGAATCACTTGCCTTGTTTTATGTTTTCACTGTCAGGTTTGCATCAAGCAACATACCTATAATATAATCATGTTTAAGACAAAACTGAGAGCCAATCACTCATGATTCAATCAACTTAAAAAGCTGTTTAAAGCTATGCCTGACTAGTGGAAACCTTCCCATTTCCTTTTACTACACAAAATATGTCCAGAAAGAAAAAAATAAATTAAAAAAAGCAACTGGACACGTCATCTCTAAATTTTAATAATGTTTTCTTCAAAGGAATAAAAAACTATGTTGATCAAATAATAGAATTAAATTCAAAATCCTTCGTATTTTTTTTTCTTTACAAGAAAACATTCTAGCAGGTGGAAGAACAGTGTTTTTTGTTTTTTTTTTGGTTGTTTTGACCACTAAGACCCTGGCTCAAGCCCTAAATGACTTGTATCACAGTAGCATCACTCAGCTGGTTCCTACTACAGATTTAAATACATTAATATTTGGGGAGGAGCTACAAAGACCAACTAGACTACCAAAAACCTAAACAATAAAAGAGCAAATTATAGAAAAACAATTGAGCCAACCCAGCATCTAGACTGCTTAAGAAGAATAAAAATAAAAATAAAGCTTCAGCGCTGACGTGAATTCAAAGCAGCAGTTTAACAAGCTCACACAAGCTCCCTGTTACTCATCTTCCTGATTTTTAATGTTTAATTATCAGTTTGTTTAATGTTTATTATCATCCATTCAGTGATGAGAACTGRCACTGCTCAGAGAATCAGGGACAGCTTTTTTATTCATACATGACGCTTTAATGATTAGAATGTGGTGCAAAAAATGGACAAAATATTTTAAGGTTTAAGATACCAACTAGAATAGAGGAAAAATAATATTTTACTGTAAAACACTGAGTGCATGTGTGTGTGGGCTTGAGGGAGGCGACAGACACTGACCTACGTAGTGTAAGTAGAGAGCCAGATATTTGTACTGAAACAGAGGGTTGTTGGAAAGGCTGGAGCGCTGGATCTTCTGGAAGAAAGAGCTTACATCCCAGCGGTACAGGACATCCAGCAGCATGATGCTGGGAACACGCAGACCCACGTTGAGCACCGCCTCTACACGGTCCTTCACTGCCATGGCCTCAGGTTAACCGCTGACCAGCAGGCAGAACTGACCACTAAGACGGGATGTTGACAGTGGGTTCTCTGTGGAGAAAAGAAAAAGATCAGACATTTATTACAAAAGATCAAGCCAGGAAATAATAATACGTATGAAAGTCATGTAACATCAAAAGAGAGGGATTAATGCACGTCACAGAAAACCAACAAAACAAAGTTATCACTGCTGCAGAAAAGCAGAAATACAGGATCTCTGCAAGCATAAAAACTAGCATTGAATGTTGTTTGTAGTGTTTTAATCTTTATCAGCATTTTTTACCAGTGAAGCCTTTTCTGTATTTTTGGTCCATGTTTTGGAAACTAAATTTTACAACTATGCACAAAAGTGTAACTTGTAAAT